TCAGTTTAGCCCTTTTAGCGAGCATTCAGGCTTGATTTGATTTCAAACCCACCGATTTGTTTTTTTGACAATCCATGGTATTTGTAAAACTCTCCTGCAGGTTTTTTTTAAAAAAATGTCTGATGGGTGGCGCTGATGGTTGGGGCAATTGCCAAGACAGGATACCCACGAGGGCATGGGGAAAGCCCAGCGCAACCCACCGCGCCAGGTGAAACCTCAACAATGTACACAGGAGCAGAGATGGAATGACGTTCATTTGCAAATGATCTTGCTCAGCCTTTGACAGAGTCTGCTGTTTTGGACCTGGCCTGCGGAGTGCCCATGAGACCGTACAGACATTAAGGGGGCCCCACGGGGACTCGCAGAGTCCCATTCTCTCTCCTGCTGCCCGAGCTTCGGCTCTGCTTTGCCACTGTACCCCTGCTCAGTTCTACATTGGAACTTGCTCCCCAGGAAGATTTAAATCTCTCCCTCTACGGTTGTCTCCTGCCTGTGGGTGAAGCCTTTTTTTGCTTCATGTGGCGCACCACATAATGGTTCCTGGGCCTCCACTCCAGCTGTGGTGCTGCATATTTCATGTATTTTTAATTGGAGGAGTATAAATGTTGTTTTTAATTGCTCAGATGTTTTGTTGCTTTCTTGTTCGCCTAACTGGTTGGAAAAGTATTAAAACATTTTAAATAGAATAAAAAAAATACACTCCCCCATTCCCTTTTCTTTGCCTGATCGCCCCCCTACTGCCACTTGCAGAAGCCTACTGATGACAACTCCATACGGTTTTAAAGGCAAGAAATGAGCAGAGCAACCCTGGGCTTCTCTGGTGGTCTCCCATCCAAGGACAAACCAGGGCCGACCCCGCTTAGCTTCTAAGATCTGATGAGATTGGTCTAGGCTGGACCATCCAGGTCAGGACAAGAGATGATCAGAGGTGACTTGCCATTACCTGCCTCTGCATGGCAACCCTGGACTTCCTCGGTGGTCTCCCATCCAAGAACTAACCGGGGCAGAGTCTACTTGGCTTCCGAGATCTGATGAGACCAGTCTAGCCTGGGCCATCCAAGTCAAGGCAACAGGCGGTTTGCAATGGCTTGCCTCTGCAGAGCAACCTTGGACTTCCCTGTGTCAGACCCACCGCAAACAATTAAGTACACACTTGTAGAAAGGTTTTACTTTATTGAAGCCATGAAGTACTTAGAACAAATTCTCTGTTCAGAATAACGAAAGGTGCTTGGGACAGGTAGGATAAAGCAGGTTCATAATTACATTGACCAATAGGCATGGTTCCCGCGCCCGCGCTGCCGAGGCTTCGCGCCCCTAAACCCTGAGATACAACGGTTCTCAAAAGTTAAACAATTATACTATTCCCGCACTACTGCTCATTACAGACTAAGCAAGAAGCCTCCTGACAATCACCACCTGCAGCCTTGGCTGATAACGTTCCATCAAAGCAATACTAGCGTACATAGAAAGGAATGCAGTTTAAGGGAAGCTGATTACATTAGAGGGATGGTGGACATGCGCAGACAGGGCAATCACTGTCAGAGAGGGAATGGGGGGTGGGGGGGTTAGCATATGCCATAGACACAGGAACGATACATTGGCAGCTTGCTGACACCCTGGTGGTCTCCCATCCAAAGACTAACCAGGACAGACTCTGCTTGGCTTCCAAGATCTGATGAGGCCAGTCTAGGCTAGATCACCCAGGTCAGGGCAACAGGTGATTTGCCACTGCTTGCCTCTGCGTAGCGACCCTGGACTTCCTTGGTGGTCTCCCATCCAAGGACTAACCAGGGCCGACCCTGCTCAGTTTCTGAGATCTGATGAGATCCGGCTAGGCTGGGCCATCCAGGTCAGGGAACAGGCGGGTTTGGCATTGCCTGCCTCTGCGTAGTGACCCTGGACTTCTCTGGTGGTCGCCCATCCAAGGACTAATCAGGGCTGACCGTGCTTAGCTTCCGAGATCTGACGAGACAGGTCTAGTCTGGACCATCCAGGTCCAGGCAACAGGTGGTTTCCCATGGCTTGCCTCTGCACAGCAACCCTGGACTTCCCTGGTGGTCTCCCCTCCAAGGACTAACCAGTTCAGACTCTGCTTGGCTTCCAAGATCTCATGAGACTGGTCTAGCCGGGGCCATCCAGGTCAGGGCAATAGGCAGTTTGCTATGGCTTGCCTCTGTCAAGCCACCTTGGATTTCCTTGTTGGTCTCCCTTCTGAGTACTAACCAGGGCCGAACCTGCCTAGCTTCTAAGCTTCTTAGCTTGGGGTAATCAGGACCATTCAGGCCTGGGCATTCCCCCCCCAGTTACTTTCCGTTCCTACTGCTCCCCAAAACATAACCCAGTTTCTTTGCAGTGTTCAGCATCTGGCCTAGATTTTGCATTGCTTTTTCAGGGCTCTTTTTGTAGAAAAAGCCCAGCAGGAACTCATTAGCAGAATAGGCCACACCCAACAACAGGAACTCATTAGCATATTGTGCAGTCCCGGCCAGCGTTCCAAGGTCATTTACATATGGAAGCTGATTGGACTACACTCCATTCCACACCTCAAACTCACCCCCCCCCAGGCAGTTGGAATTTTCAGTTGGGAGAGGAGAATGATGTCAGCTGCTCCCTAGGCAGAGGCTGTGTGTGTGTGGGGGGGGGGGGGGTGTGGGGGGGGGGGGGGGGGGGGAACCAAATAAATAAAATGCCAACCGAATATTTTTCCTTCCAGTTTGGTGTTGTGGTTAAGTGCGCAGACTCTAATCTGGGAGAACTGGGTTTGATTCCCCACTCCTCCACTTGCAGCTGCTGGGTGACCTTGGGCAAGCCAGTTCTCTCAGAGCTGTCCTTGAAAAAGAGCAGTTTCTGTCAAGAGCTCTCTCAGCCCCACCCACCTCACAGGGTGTCTGTTGTGGGGAGGGGAAGGGAAAGGGAGTTTGTAAGCCACTCTGAGACACCTTTGGGTAGTGAAGGGCGGGGTATAAATCCAATCTCTTCTTCTTCCATGAGCGCTGAACATGCAAGGAAGTCACCTTTATAGTTTGAGAATTTTTTTTAACTTCACAAGACTTTTTTAAAGTTCTATTTTTTTGGGGGGGGGGGGAATCTAGGGTTGCCATGTGTGCACTTCCCTCTCTCCTCCAGCTGAGACAAGGGAGGCAGTCGGAAACCCTAGGAGACTGCCGTCCTATGCAGACTTCTAATCGGGTTGTTCTAAGGATATGTTCCACAAAGGTGGACCATACGCTCCCAAGCCAAAAAAGAAAAGAACACACGACTGAAGTCTCAGTGAGGAGAAAGTTCTTTTAGGTATTTTATTGCAAGAAATACTGGAAAACAGTTAGACCGAAATTGCTGGTCAAAAATTAACTGCTTTCTGAACAGTATAAGGAAGCACATGAAGTTTTACACCCAAAATGACACCGGCAAAAGATAACATACAAAAATCATAATTGGTTACAAATAGCAGAGTATCATTTGAGTAGGCATACATTGATTGGCCAATTACAGCAAGAGGTGTGACTACATGCAGGGGTCATTTCCTGCAGGAGCACACAGGAGCGGAGCTCCGGCAGTAAGGAGCCCAGGGGGCAGGCACATGCAACAAGCCCCACCCCCTGCTCCCAGCAGCCCTCAGTTGGGCCACGAGGAGCAAGAAGCAGCCAGGTAAGTTGCAGAGCCCCCCCCCCGCCCGCCTTCAGGTACAAGCTCTCCCTCCTCTGGGAGGGCACATCTGCATGTTCCCCCCCCCAAACGCTACCAAACCAAAACAGTC